GTAAGATTTAGTAAATCTGGAAAGTATGACTTCAGTTAGCATCACTGCAGTAATAGTAAAGAGGCATCATAGTTTGGGATGGACCAATGTAGGAGTTATTGACCGATGACAATATTATTATAATATCCAATATTTCTCATATCTGCTGACACCAGTACAGATGCCAATTCATGAACGATAAATTCTAAAATCTAGAAACTGGGACAAAATCCACCTGGATGAGCATTACAGAAAAATGTAACATTAATTTCTGTAGGGTTACAAATGCAGTAAACATTTTTGTGCAGTAGCCCAGCATCACCTAAATATTCCACTCTTAAATGGAATTTTTTAAAGCAATTATCTGCCAATACTGATATCATTCTGAAATCATCGTGCATCCCTAATTGTCATAACTGCATTCAACTCAAACCCGTTTTTCATTGCAATGCTTTTTAAGGCACGGAGCAAATGCAACAGTTAAAAAAAAAAAAGATTTTGCAGTCATGTGCAATTTTGAACACCCCCTTTCAAATTATGTTTTGTTTAATTTCACACATCATCTACGAGGAGCAAGCACAAATATGGCATTTTTCTCAAAAGATTAATGTACAATTTCTATTTATTTGCTAAGTTTAACACTTAAAACATAAAATATAAACATGCACAGGCCATATTTTATATTTAAACAGTAATTTTGCATTAAAATGTGTGTTCTCCGTACAAGGTTAGAGTAAGATGTGTTAACTTATTTTCACTTAGAAAATCAACATAGCACAGTTTGACCAGGGGTGCACAAACTTTTGCATATGACCGTATTTCTAACACTGCATTGCTAAGAAATTATTCTTTAAATATAATTCACCCTGTGTAAAATCTGTTATTATTTTGTCATATTCTGTAGAGACCAAGAGCCAGTACTAACAACCTTCCATTCAGTATGACTGTCTTGATATCTTTGCTTTACAGCACTTTTGAAGATCTGACCTTCCATAACAATGGAAGACACCACACCTAAATAACTCTTCCATCTTTTCTGCAAACTGCCCTTATTTCCACGAAAGATGGAAACAGAGGAGATCGGCTGCGCAGAATTCCAAGAGAAGGCAGGCCTGAAAAGAAAACTAACAGGCCCACCCAGACTTCTACTGGGCAAAACCAAATCGCCAGTTCAGGATGAGAAGAAGTCAGATGCTCAAGCTTTGAGAAAGCAACGGCGAGACAAAAATAACGGCACGGCAGAAGAGCACCAAGGCAACAGTGATGCAGGATGTGAATCGCACCAGGTTACGTGTCAAAGCCCTCAAATTGCCTTTGCTGTAGAAGAACAAGAAACTTGCACAGATCCCCAAGAAGAGTCTCTGGAAGCAGTGTCAAAGCCAGAAGAGAGCAGGGTCAAAGGACAACATGGCAAGAGTGGGCTGAGGAGAAGCAGAGCTAAAGCAACAATTAGAAGGATGTTCTCCCCGGCTTTGATGTGTGTTCGAAGGAGAAAGCAATTAGATACTAAATCTGTGGAAGATGCAGAAGACAATGCAACACAAAGAGCACACATTAGCCTTGAAGTCGCTAAGGATACTACACATGAACTCCTGACCCTTTCAGCTGACTCCTTTAATGTGACTGAAGGGTGCAAAGCAGGCTTGCTTAAGAAGGAAGGCTCAAGAAAAGGAAAAAGAAAGTTCCGTGTTAGAATGTGGCCCATTTTCAAGAGACTTTCAACAACATCCAGCAGCAATCAGAAGCAAGAAAAGGGCAGCGCAGGTCAAGATCATGATACTTTTATTGAAATAACCTCCGAAAGATCCAACTCTGCCGTTGATCAGCCTGATTACTGTGCTCCCGAGCCATCTGAAGATAATGCTGTGGCTGAGCAGCTGAAAGGATCAAGTGAGATTCACGAGGACATGGCAAGGATCCATGAGGAAAGCTGTCCAGGGAAAGATCTAGATCACAAGGAAGAGGGTACAGATGAAGTTACCCTGAGTGCAGAAGTGAGTGCTGACTTTAGTCATGAGCAGGTTGATGAAGTATGCTGTCCTGCGCAGGATGTACACAAACACCACCTCTCAAACGTAAAGGATGAAGAGGACACGAATACACAGATTACTGGAGCCTGGTGGTCTCTCAGACACTGAAACCACCACAACACATGTTCATGAGTGTAATTCAGAAATTAAAGTCCCTGAGGCCTCCCCAGATATTAGTACTAGAAATGTGGTAGTCCTAAACGATCTAGATAAGATTGCGAAATGCAAGCCAATCATTAAAATTGAAGATGTTCACTCATCAGATGAAGAAATCGAAGAACCTATGGAGAACAACACTCTACAGTATAATACACTGTCACCACTTCTCTCAGTGAATGGGTCCTGTCACAGATTTAAAGTTAACAGAACGGTGAAAAACACGTTACAGACTTTGGACCACAGTGGCAACAGTAGTCAATTTTCAGAGATGTTACTGGTGCAGACGGCTTTCTCCTTGGTCCATGCAGCCATTACTGGTGCTATGGAACAGCTTTCAGCTGAGCTGCAGAGTAATCAGATAGATCAGGACCATGCATGATATACAGTACTGTGCAAAATCAGAGACCATCTCTGATCTATTTAGGTTGTAGTCAACACAGCCAGTAAGTACCTAATTCATTTTTCAGCGTTAGGGAAAAAAAAACAAGCAGAAAACTGATGTTAAACAGGACATTATGCAGAAGCCTGAACAACTACTTATAACATGACATTTTTCAGCATTTAGCATGCCCACTTTTTGTCTTTTTATGACAATATACTTATGTTTATGTTTAAGGCAACTGGTCATAAAGCATATGTACAGTACTGTCCACACTTTCATTTAATTGCACTTAAAACAGCCATTAAGTATGAATTGTTAACTTTTTAGCATTTAGAAGAAAAGGCAAAAAACATAGATGCCTCAACAACTAAACATATCAACTTTTTTCAGTATTTAGTGTGCCCACTTTGTCTTTACTACAGCTTCCATTCTTTTCAGGAGACTTACTTTCAGTTTTTCAAGGAAATCTGCAGGGATATTTTTACACACCTCTAAAGTTCAGTCTTAGAAATTGGTTGCATTTTCTGCTTCTCACAATGCAAGTAATCCCAAACACATTCAGTGTCTTGTGGACTGGGCTCTGGGGTGGTCAGTCAATCGCCCTTCCGACAGTTTCTTTGTATTTTTTTCTCAGTAACAGCTTCTTGACAGCTACACATCCTTTCAGACTTTTGGTGTTGAGTTGTCCTCTCAAAGTTGAAGGACGGACAGAAACATCTGTGGATGTTTTCAAATCTGAAGCAAGAGTGGAGCTTAATTTTCTCCTCTCTCTCAAAGATGAAAGCTTTAAGTGCTGTTTATCTGATGGTGACAGTTATGGTGGTCTACCAGGTCTTGCATGGTTGTTCTGTTTTCTCTGTATCTTTTAATAACTCCTACTTATTTTCACTTATTATGCAAGTTAATAATCTTATATCTCTAATAATCTCTTCAGAAATAACTTATGAAAAATGAATAACTTGTATTTAATGGCTGTTTTGACTGGACATTAAAGACATGAAGAGTGGCCTCTGAGTTTTGCGCAGTTCTGTACAAAACCTACTCCTAGCATGCAGCAAAGAACACATTTTGTATGATCTTATCATTGGAGCGTGAATCTAGCCTCATGGTTGGATGAAACCATGAGTCATCAGTGTTAGATGAGTTAGCATTGTATTGACTGCATTTGAATCATTCATGGTTACGCTGTTTATGAGAGAACAACATCTGTTAAATTACTACTAATGTGAACTATCATGCATATCGGCCTGTATTATAATGGAATGATTTTCCAGATTGTGATGTTGATGTAATAAATATGATGTTATTGCAATATGAATATATTGTTGTGATTCAAATTTTGTCCTGTCCATTACATTCCATGTAGCTTACTCAACATTGTGGGCGTTCACATGTGCTGGAATTAGGCGCAATCTGCCTAAAACGTGCAATTCACGAGTGCTTTATTTCATTATTTCTCCCACAGTTCATATTTTTAGCCAGAATGTGACATTATCTTTCATATCACTGCGACATAAGCCTAGTTTCTATAGCAATGGATAACCCACGTATTAGTTAGCAGCTACACAACCACACTTTTAACTCCTGGGAATCTTCTGTTGTGTAAAGCAGCACAAAATAAGATGTCTCATATGATCTTAGTCTGATTGTCATTCGTGTGGATGGTAAACCCACAAGAATCATTCAAAGGCTTTGTTTAAATAAATGGAAATATGTGGTGAGAGCAGACAGGCAAAGAATCATTTATCTTCCTGTGAACCATGTTCATATTTAAATGTAGACCATATAGTAAAATGCTTCATGCTCTAATGCTCCTCTTAAGGATAGGCCTAACTCCTTGAACTCCTTGAACTCCCCTGCCTAAGATCATTTAAGACTGACTGACTGGATTTTCTGGATTATTATGTGAGCAGACTGTGTTTGTGATTTGTAAATAACTCCTGTTTAGGATTCTACCCTTGACATTTTGAAAAATGCTTGACCGCATAAGCAAATGCTGCCCTCTAGTGGTAAAAGGTGAAAAGCCATAACTTTAAAGTGGGGAGACTTTTGGAGGTACTGCGATTAAAGGGGAACTCCACTGATTTTCACAATTTCTTCATGATTAAATCATTAAGATGTAAGCAAAGTTATTTAGCATGGTTTTATGTGAAATGCTCCATTCTAGAAAAAATTTAAACACTATTTTACCATCATCATCAGATGTAAAAAGTCAGAAGACGTATGTTCACATGTAGGTCGTTTTGAATCAACAAAATGGCTATATTTGCACTGCAGACATTGAAACCTCTGGTTTCCATAACCATCACTATAAAGAACCACTTTCCCTGCAATTTCAAATCAAACCACTGAATGACATCTCAGTGATTAAATATATACAGAAATGTACAAAAAGAAAGGTGTTTGTTGTTTAAACTAATGGTTTTCTAATGCAGTGAATTTAAATGCAGTTCACTGAAAATGCCATTTATTTAAAAAAATAATCAGAACACAGTATTACACAACATTACTCAGTGCTGATAAATAAAAGTCATAATGAGACTATTCAAAATGCACTCTACGAGTCACACAAGTGTCACAGACGTTAGCTTTTCACTGGTTTAAACTTCTCATCACAGTACACTGACCTCTTCTCGAGTGTTCAAAAAATACAACTCAAATCTGGCCTGTGGACTTTCCAGACACAAGTAGAAAGTGAATCCTCTTCATCATTGGCTATTTACTATTCCATTAGAGACATAAAGGTCAGCTCTCAGAACGTAACACACTTTTTTTTTCCCCAGTGCTGATGACAGGTGACCTTTAAGATGGCGTGGTTTTAGGTGACAAAGTCAGTGATGTTACTGCAGCAGCCTTTGAACCTTGACATTATTATAGAGAGACATTTTCACTTCTAGTGGCATAAACACATAATACCAATTATGCAAGATTGTTTATGTGGTGAGGTACCAAGTAAAGTGTTTTTCACTACTTTCAGTTCCATACAATATAACCTTTGGCAGGTTTTTAGAGAATCATTTAAGCAGAAAGCACCATTCTTCCATTACATTAGTCCAGTTCTTAGAGCATTTCACAAAATCAGGCACTGTACTTAGGTGGTAACACCAACATACCATACAATGAATGAGGGAAAGGATGCTATTTTTGTGATTCACCACAGGCCGGATTTGGTTGGGCAACACTTTAAGTGCTTTTAGTGCTTTTAGCGTTGCTTGGCAAATAATTTTAAGGCACTGAACCAGATTTCACAGAGGATTAATCTCATATCTTTTAGAGTGGATTGATCATGAATGTGAATTCAATCTACCGGCTACACAACATTAAGAAAACGATTCTGTACTTATGTAGTCATTACAACAGCAATCTGACTTTCATTAGAAACCTATTTCAAATTCACTGTCTGCGCTGGTTTAGTTTGATGTGCAGGTATCAGTCATTACAGTTTTAGAAAATACAGTATTACTGAACGAAACACAACATCTAGCTCCTCGGTCCAGCGTTGCTCAGTTACAGCCACAAGCCACAACAGACTATACACTAACATTGAACTTGTCAACAGAGTGTCAACAGCAGTTCTTGAACTGAAATGTACTAACAGGAGTTACATGAGACGAGACAGTGTCTGAGGTCAAAGCTGAATGGAGACTGCATGTCAATGAAGAATCCATGTGTCACTCCACAGTCACAGCATCTACGCTCTCCTGAGACACCTCAGAGTCCAGCGAGTAGCAGGAGCTGCCATTGTCCTGAGCGTCCCGGACAGTCTCCTCGGCTGCTGTAGCCGTTGCCGTGATGTCCGGTGGTCCCTCGCAGCCATGGAGGAGCTGGCCGCAGAAGCGACCATAGCGATGATAGCGTAGAGGCTTGCCCACGTGGGCAAACATGTGCTCCTGCAACTGGCTCTTGTGGGAAAAGCGCAAGTTGCAGACTGCACAGGCCATTTTCCTCTTGCGGGTGAAACCTGCTGTTGGGCTGCTGCCCCCCCGCCTCAACTCGGCTGCCAACTCGTCGGCCAGCGCCTGACTTTGTCGTAAGGCCTCCTCTAGAGTGCCCCCGTCCACTCGCTCCTTCTGAGCCCGTCTCTCTTCCGATCCCCTGGCATCTCCACCTCCGTCCTCAGAGGGTCCTCCCTCCATCAGACTGCTGATTGAGGGCTCCAGCGTGCAGGCTGCATGGGTGAAAAGATGCTCCTGCAAGCCCTCAGGCGACAAGCAGCGTTCGCCACAACGTGGACACAGCAGTGCCAAAGGACCATCCTTGAAGAGAGCTGCCGGACAAGGGCTACCCTGGGCTGAGGGGAGAGAGCCGGGTGCCTGATGGTTCTCCTCCCCTTCCTCCTGCTCCTCCTCTTCCACCCTCTCCTGCTTGATCCTGGTTGAAAGGGAGTTTGAATCGTCCCCTGATGCCACAGAGGAAACAGTGCGAAGGCCTCGGGACGAGCGCTCCAACGGAAGGCCCTCCAGGCCCAGAGCCAGAGTGGGCCTGCCGCCATGAGAGCGGTCAGCCCGGGCACTGGAGCGCCCATCCTCAGTGTCCCGCGAGCTACTGGCCGCCTTCAGGCCCGAAGACTCTTTGGCGGTCAGTTGGGAGGAGATCTGGATGCCGTAAAGGTTGGACAAACGGATGGGGTCAGAGGAGGCGTCGGGTCCGCCCTCACCTGTCTTGCGGCACAGCTGGTATGCGTGAAGGAACTTGATGCCGTCCTGCAATCTGCTCTGATCCACAGGCTGCTTAGGGCCCATGCCTGTGTACATGATGTGCAACAGGTAGCTGAAGACGTCTGGCTGGATGTCTGTTGGCTGGATCTTAATACACTCACTGAACATTGGGAAACAATTGGCATATGCTTAGCTAATATTCTGTTTTATACAGCATATTTTGAATATATATTTATACTGTTTATCTTTAAGGCAACCGGTCATAAAGCATATGTACAGTACTGCCCATCCCTACATTGAATTGCAGTCAAAACGGCCATTAAGTATAGATTATTAACTTGTTAGCATCTAGAAAAAGAAAAACATAGATGCCTCAACAACTAAACATATCATTTTTTTGTGATTGTGCAGTGACACATGTAGTATTTAATGTGTCCACACTTTGCCTTTATTACGACTTCCATTGTTTTCAAGAGACTTGCTCTCAGTTTTTTCAAAGAAATCTGCAGGAATATTTTTCATCACCTCCAAAGTTCAGTCTTAGAAGTTGGTTGCATTTTCTGTGTCTCAAAATACAAAAAATCCCAATTACAAATTTAGACTCAGCAATCCAAAAAACCTTACTCCACATCTCAGATGTCAAGTTTTGGTGTTTTATTACAAAATGTCTTCTTTTTTGTCTATTTCCTTTTCTGGGTGGTTCCTGACTTTTGCCCAGTCCTGTAGGTCATGTTGCTAAAATACAGTTGAATTATCTTACAATTCTCTTGCTAATGCACAAAACGTATTACCTACAATCCACTGACGTATTATTTATCTTGCAAACGTGCTTACTCTTAAAAGCTTACGTCAAAAGGCACATCAAGAAGGGTGACTAACCTGGACTGATGGATGAAGATCATCTTGAAGTAGTTGGAGAAGGCAGCCAGCACTGCTCGATGGGCCTTGAAGTACACGTTGCCAATGGCCACAGTGCAGTCGCACAGGAACCCAAACTCCCTTTGGACATTCAGTTGCTGCAGGAGGAATAGACTGTGGCTGGACACATCCATGATGCCCCCTCTGTTAACCTAATACCCTGCACAAGCAAACACAAAACACAGAAAAAGATGTGTCGTGAGGTAGGAAATTAAGGGGAGATAGCACTGCTCTTGCATAGAAACGGTGGGCTTTCATCATATACCTGTGTATTCAAGATGGGACAATGGGCGACCTCTATCGGAGGAAATGGGAACAGCTTTTTGCACATTTTTGGGGAAACCTAGGCCAGATGTTTACATCTGGATGGGATTGTCCCGGCGACTCTGACGTCTACTGAAGCTACACGTCTGCGCCTGGCCTCACATGTTACATGCGTCTGTTTACACGCAAAGGCGCAGCACTGGAATTAGCGCAATTTCAGGCGCATTGGCAACTTACACCAAGTGTTATCTAAGTGACATGCTTCGTGGACTGTTTCTGTGAGTCACACTTGCGTGGTGGAGGCCTCTTCCTCTAAACCATGGACACATGCATTGTTTGTGGTGAAGTGGAGCGGCTTGGCCAGCCCGAGTTTCTTATAAATACAGCTGAACTGAGACAAAGCCTGACTGGTGTTACATAAAAGCACTTATTTATCCCCCAATGAGTTGCGACAACTGTTAGCGTCAAATATCAGACAGACAGGCACTCGTGCTTCTGGAACGTGCTCGCTTTGCCTCCCACCACCAGCCTTTCGCTCAAGACAGCATCACATTCATTTTTCACACGTCTGCTCTACGCAGTCGATGATGGCAGTTCTCGAAGAAACGGGGCTCGCCTCCCATGCATCTCCACATATAAAGCATGCATGCGTTCACGGAAAGACGAAAGACGCTGAAGAAAACGCAATCTTACCGCCTATGTGCGTGAAAGCGCTTTTTATTTCGTACGTGCTGCTGCAGAAAAGCGCTTGTGCTGCTTCCTATGCGTCTGACACGGGGCTCTGCTCAGGCTCCGTCACGTGACCACGATGTACATTAGCAGCTGCAGCACAAGCACAAATGCGAAAAAAAAAATGTTACTTCGCGTCGTTCTGCTGGTTAATGTTGCTCTGCACGTAAGACTTCACCAAAAATGCAGCGACGAATCAACACAAGTTGAGTGGATGAACTGAAAACAATCCTAAAGTCATAAACAACAAAGTTATTTTTAACGCAATCTCGTGGACAACCTTAAAGTGTTTAATGTTTCTCCTGCGATAAGACACTCTTGTCTAATGCTCGTTTATTGTTATTCTCCATTTGGTTGAAAGAAACAGCCAGCTCTGCCGTTCCCTCCTCACTCGCGCATATATTTCATGTATGGTTGCATTTTCACTGGCTGCCCCTGGCCGCATGGCCGTGTTAGGGCGGGCTGCGTTTTTTTTTTCTTTTCTTTTTTTTCCCTCTTGCATTTGCGTGTGCGTTTGCGTGCGCAAACTCGCGAAGCGGCTGTGCGGAAGTTCTTTCATCCCTCCTGCTCCTTCTGCTGCTGCAAAAAAACGAGGGGGCGATTAGCTCTCCCCGTCGTCCCAACTTTCCTCGCGCGTTTCAGGCCAAGGAAGCGGCGAAAGCCCGCGGCTCCGCGTCCCAACTCCACTTTTTCGCTCGCCATCGGTCGGAGCACGTTAACCTGGGTGAGTATTTTTGGCCTTCTCCGAGTGTAAACATTAGCTTTAGCTGAGGAGAGAATGAGCTCTTCCTCCTCCCAGTACGTGCGGGGAAGCAGCGTGGGGGCGGCGGGCTTGCGGGAGAGAGACACGGAGGGAGAAAGAAGGGCAGATAGAGCTCCGGCTCCGCGGCTTGTCTGCTCTCGATTAGCGCCCGTTCTCGCTTCCGAAGCCGAGAGGTCCGGTCCGATCTCTCGGCCCACTTTCGGACGCGGAGAGTTTGGTTTTCAGTTTTTTTCAGTGCGGAATGATTGACAGCCACAACGCCCGCATGAGTCTGGCCCAGGAACGGCCCAATGAGAGCGCAGGGGCGGGACTTACACCTCAGTTACAGCACAACAAAGGGAAAGTACAGATCTAGTACATACTGGTAAATGCGTTTTAGCCACTGACAGAGTTTACGAGTTTGAGGTAATGGAAAAAATGAAAGCTGTTGAAGCTTGTGTACTCATTATATAGACTTTGTATAAATAACATATAAATAAAGTCTATATGTAAATATATATGTATATACATGTATTTAACTTTATCTAATAAAAGTTACTACTATACATTAGACCAATAAACCTTGTGTGAAGTTTATATAGATTTTCTAAGATATATAAATATAATTTCCACATCTTATAAAATGTTATCTTACATATTAATAAATTATTTATCTTTCTCTCTCTCTCTCATATATATATATATATATATATATATATATATATATATATATATATATATATATATATATAATGTGTGTGTGTGAATGAGAAAGAGAAATGTAGATATATACACATATATAATTACATTTACACATTATTTGCCAAGATAAATTTATACATTAAATCTTCCTTCTTTAGTTTAGCGCTGGAGCTACGAGGCTAACGTTGCTCACGCTATAGTTGCCCAAATCTTTTCTGTGCATACATCCCTCAAACTTCTCTCAACCTCAAAAGGTCTTCATTAAGGATGTGTGGACTTATCAGTGTTGTGTAGGACACAGTATGACTTACTGTGAACAGTACAATCTGCCACCCCTTCACATTCACACACATTATGCAGACGTAAGGACACTAGATTACATTTGCCATTTCTGTTGTTTCCATTTCTAAACATATATATGCAGTTCGCAAACGCAGTCTGTGGCATCCTTATGCATGTGTGACATGTGTGCACTCGAAGGGGAAGCAGAATTCAGCACAACACCTGTTGTCTAAAATGGTTTTCCCCATGTTGGATGCAGTTTGAATGGGTTGAGAGATGTTGATGTAGTTACAGAAAAGACTTGGGTGACTTGACTTCTTTTAGTGTTTGTAGTCTCATAGCTACAGCACTAAAGAGGCATAATTTGGCCAGAACAAAAATGTCTTGGCTGATCAGTTACATCTGGTGTAAGTGGAAAGTTGTGTAAAACTGATTTTTGCCAAACCATTCCTTCAGAAGTCTAGTAAGGGTTTGCATTTAACATAGAGGAGAGCATTAAATCAACAGTTCTGGGACATCATGGATTTTAAGGCTTTTTTTAAGAAAAGAAAGAAAATGTGCATATTCATTCTCGAAGTATCCATATGAAATCCTTCTAGAACAAACCAACCAACCCATAATGCAATTTATGTGGGAAACATATGAACCTCCGAAAGTGACACTATTTAAAATCACTTTTAACCAATGTGGCAAAATGTTCGTGATTACACAGCACAACGAAGGTTGTGCAGAATACCTATTAAAATAGCAAAGCAACCACAAGTAATAACAAAATACCCATAATAACTATCTTTGACCATGTATAGTTAAAGGCAGATTTCTGATTATTGTGGCTTCCTGTTTACCACAATTGTAAACTGTTTTCACATAATCAGATAAGCAATTTTTGAACAGGCACATTCGGTAGCAACTTTGCTTCCCAAGGATTTTGGTACCTGTTAAAGGTCTGAGCACCTGATTGAAGTTTAAATCAAACGTTTAATAACCTTACCTTGATTTGTTTAACACTTTGGTAATTCTAACATGTATAATAATAAACTGAATGGGTAGATATGTGGTACTGTTTTTGTAATTTAACTAAAAAAAATTCAGTGGACTGAAGTACAGGCTGAATTGGCATGAGGAGATGTTCTGTTTATGGAGGGTAAAAAGTGCATATTGTACAGTCTGTTCCTGTTTTGTCATTTGGATGCTATGTTTACAGCTACTGCATACATAAACAGTTTCATTGCTTAATACAAAACAAGCCTTTGCATAATGATGAAGTGCTGTTTTTCTTTTTTTCTATTGTTTTTTTTAGTTCTCCACAGGGTGATGGCAAGGCCAAGCCACAGTGATCATGTCTTGCAGCAGCTCAACAACCAACGAGAGTGGGGCTTCCTGTGTGACTGCTGCATTGCCATTGGTGATATTTACTTCAGGGCCCACAAAGCTGTGCTGGCAGCCTGCAGCTCCTACTTCAGGATGATGTTTATCCGAGACCAGCAGGGGACAGCACGCCTTGATCTCAGCAACATGCAGATCAGTGCAGAATGCTTTGACCTCATCTTGCAGCTAATGTACCTCGGCCGTATCATGGTAGGCCACTTTGAATTTGAGGAACTGAAGTCCTCCATGGTTTATCTGCAGATGTACTACATCCCTGATTCTCTGGAGGATCTTAGAGACATCCGAACATCTAACCTTACTCCCTCCTCTTCGGCCTCCTCCTCGTCATCTAGCTCGTCATCCTCATCCAGTGCAGTGGGAGGCAAAATGATGTTTGGTGTACGCATGTTTGAGCAGCGGAGGCCGAGTCCGGCGGACACTGAGCGTGTGTCTAAGCTTGCAAATACAACTACTCGTCAAAACATTAACATCTCGACTGTGAGGCCTGTTGAAGATGTGGTCCTCACGCTTGCTCCATCACTCTCCGAGAATCTGGTGGAGCAGCCTTGTGACTTGCGAAAGAGGACCTCAGGCCGAAGCTCTACCTTAAAAGAACGGCCCCGGTTTGGCCGCACTTACACATGTGACGACTGTGGCTTTGTCTTCAGTTGTGAGAAGCTGCTCATCGAGCATATCCTCACATGCACCAACCGCAAGGCTTACCAGACACCTAGAGCCAGCAAGGCAGCTGACAATGACTCCAGCAAAGCTGAGAGTTCTGCCTCTGAGGGAGGGGAGGAACACAGAGCGGTTTGCAAGGGAGAAGAAGACTGGCTTGAACACAAGTCGGACCCAGAGTCTGTGATCAGGTCTGTTGCCACAGGAATGGACACTGATCCTTCCTTGTCTAGGAATATAACCATCAAAGTAGAGCAGGAAGAAGACTCAGATACAGAGATGGAAAACATCAAAGTGGTCCAGGTTGGCAACCATAGCGTAGGGAGCTGCAAGGTACGCCGCAGGATGTTCAAAGCTAATGTTGCAGACCATGTGAGATTCGACAGTGAAGAAGAGGCAGGAGTGTCCGCCATGGATGATGGCGCCAGTGCGCTGGAGGGCCACAGCAAGGAGACTGGGCCAGAAGACAAGGTGCACAGGATCAAAGAGGAAAAGCAGGATGGGGAGTGCACTCCATGTGAGCTGTGTGGAGCCTTGCTGACCGAGGAGGACCAGTCTTCTCATTACATTTCCAACCACATGGGACATATATGTGCCTGCGGAAGATGTGGCCAGGTGCTTATCAAGGGCAGGCAGCTGCAGGAGCATGCTGAGCGCTGCGGGGAGCCTCAGTGTGCGGAGACAGACTCACCAGGTGAAGACTCCCCTCTGCCTGAAGAAGGGCAGGCTATGGAGGAGGGCTTGCTGGAAGGTGCTGACTTGGGCTTCCGTTGTCCCCTCTGTGGCTTAATTTTTGAAAGTGAAAGCCAGGCTGTGGAGCACACGTTGGCCTGTCCTGAACAGGAGCCCTTCCGACCTGCAATGATGGAGGACAGCGGTGAGCCGGACCATCGTCGCAAGCACTTCTGCGCCATCTGCGGCAAAGGCTTTTACCAGCGGTGCCACCTGCGGGAGCACTACACGGTGCACACCAAGGAGAAACAGTTCACCTGCCAGACCTGCGGCAAGCAGTTCCTACGAGAGCGTCAGCTTCGGCTGCACACTGACATGCACAAAGGTATGGCTCGCTATGTCTGTCCCGTCTGTGATCAGGGCACTTTCCTCAAGCACGATCATGTGCGCCACATGATCTCCCACCTGTCGGCCGGAGAGACCATCTGCCAGGTGTGCTTTCAAATCTTTCCTAGCGGGGAACACCTGGAAAAGCACATGGATGTTCACTTGTACATCTGCGGTGTGTGCGGGGAGAAATTCCGCCTCCGCAAAGACATGCGGAGCCACTACAACATGAAGCACACCAAGAGACAGTGAGAGACAGCGAGAGAGAAAGAGAGTGTGTGTCATGTAAAAATTTTAAATAAGCCATTCTATATCAATGTGAGAAGAAATCTATGCACTTAGACACCAAATAATAACCTGTAAAACTGCACTTTTAATGGTATGCATAATCCAGGTGTTTTGGTCAGCTTTCGTTTGTGGGATTCAGTGCCTCAAACTTTAGGCATACTGCCATTTGTTGAATCTCAGTTAAGCACTCTACATATAATCTATGAAAGACAGTATATTATGTTTTACTTAACAAACTAATCAGATCAAAATTTCTACAATTTAGACATTAGCAATTTGTCCATCCTCATTTGATATGCCAAGCTCTGCGTGCCTGCTTATCTTAAGTTCAACAGAGCTTTTCTAATTTGCCAACACGGATCTTTTTGGTGCTCTACATTTTCTGTGACAAAATAATACTTTTTATTGTTATTTTGATTCATAATAGCCTTGGAAGAATACTTTTCAGGTGTAGGTGCTCAAGAAGCCTACATCTTTGAGGTTGTGAGAAAAAGGCTATATAGCATTACAGGGTATTGTGAAGGCCCTTTTTGCAACAGAACACTAAAATACTGCATTTAATACAAATCAGTCTTGAAACACTCTTCAGCTGACCCTTCTAACCAGCTAGGTCTTTTTTTGTCATCAGTCTCATTTCTCTTAAACTTAATGTGGAATTTAATGTATTAACTATGCAACTTGAGCTTGGTATTATAAATAAATTTATTCTGTCAGAATTCAGCAAGAGCTGATAAGTGCTGTCATTAGACGTTATCTGCTGTTTTTATTCTTATTATTTAAAGCATATCTGTTTGGAGGATTTTTGACAATAATTCATGTACCACACAAACGCAAAGTATATATGTATAATTTCAAGCATTTAAAATGTTTATACTGCTGCGATAAACTAACAGTGACGGTTGAAAGATTGAAGTTTTCGGTTGGCTGTTTACATTAGCAGTGTAAACTTTTTGAAAGGTTTGAAATATCTTAACAAAGTCTTACATATTATATGTTAAAGTAGATTTGGTCCTATCAGTTCACAGTGGGGGCACAGACAGTCTCAATAGACTTACTGCATGGTACACAATGACACATTGTTATCCTTTTTTTTTTTTAAATTTTATTTTGAGAGAACTTGTTTTGAGGTTACTCATAGGTTTTGGTGTGGTATAAGCTGTTTCACATTTCATTTCTTCACTAGGCAGTAGAACCCTTCAAGAAAATCTTGACATGAGTTCAAAATGTTGTAAAAATGTCATTTTGCCTTGATGCACATTATGAGATTACAACATTAAAGACTAGTGATTGGGAAGTCTCTGTTTTTGCTAAAGTGTCCTGTGAAGCATTTTAAGGGAGTGGTCCCATGTTGCTAATGTTCATAGTGGCCAAAATCCAGGTGGATCATGCTTTTGCCCTAGAGGACCATCCATTAAACAGTCTGATTAAACTATGATCTAATATTCTGAGCAGGAAGCATTTTCATGGTTGGACAGACAACAGGTAGTCCAAAATGGCAAATATTTGCTGTTTCATGTCTTGATTTGCGATATCTGTCATTAACTTGTTCACTGATTTTCCACTGTAAATTGGTCATTCTACAGAAGTTGTTCAAAAGGGGGTTGTAAAAATGTTAAAAAGTGTCATCCTCATAAAATCCCTTTAACTTTGTGTTGCACTTTTAACTACTATTGATAAGTTCACAGAGTAAACGTTTAAAATATGTATTTCAGAATTTTACTTTCACGTATTTCTCTACATTTCTCATTACCAAAACCTCACAGAAAAACAGCAGTAAATCATAGTGTTCTGTTTATCAAGCTTTAAAAACACATTTCATATTTCGTATTTTTCAGCATCAAATTATGTAACATAGATATCAATTCTGTTTCTTTCTGAAATTTGATGAATAGTCATGTTATTTTCAGTTAAATTTAGGGGAAAAAAAGGTAACCGGCTGTACTTTTGGGCATATTTGACTTTATAAGAAAATACAACTAAAAGTCACTTCTAAAACCCATATATCAATGCAGAGGAGGCATTTTGTTTTGGTAGTGACATGTCTGTTTTCTGTTGTGACTGTTTGTGACAATCCAAGTTAATTTTGCTTCAAATGTGTACATAGCATTGTATTTTGTAAGACATGAAAGGTGACTAAGTGACACTTAAAGAAAGCACATATAAATCCTCTGACTTTGAAACACTTTGATTTAAAACAAAGATAAAATAAAGATTTAGATGTTAAACAACATCTACTCAGGTAAAAGAGGAAAAGTTTAATATTTCTCATTGGTTTGCTTGTATATGGGTGTAGCCAAACGTTAATAAATTTCAGAGGTTATCTGTGTGTGTTTCTGTAGTGACGTGAAAATTACAGACAGCATATGGTTATTGCATTTCCATTTAATGTCAGTATAAATTAAAAATGTATATTAGGAGAAAAAAACTTTTAAAAATTGGCAAAAGTTTGTGATTTAGGGGTTAGGCATGATGCAATGATCATATTCTGTTTATATATATATATATATATATATATATATATATGATATATGCATTGCTGTTCTAAGTTTTACCCTTTGTAAAATGTCTCAGTTGCCTATTTATGCATTTTTACAATTAGTTTTGAACCACTTCGTTAGAATGACCCATATAAGTCAGGTTCACATGTTCACATGCATTTTTATTATTATTATTACATATTGACCACACAAATTAAAGAATTGTGTGTTTTTTTTTTTAATCTGGACATTACTGACACACAAGTAATTCCAGCCATTAGGCATGTATAACATACTGCAGATCCATTGCATTTTCCTTTGGTAAATGTGAACTGTTAAGTTTAGTGGTGGTTTTCTTATAACCACATCTGTTATTAAAAATGTATTTAACTTTCAAGTGTGCTGTTCAGATGAGAAAGATTTGAGATAAAGTAAGTTGTAACTCTCAGTATGTTTGTTTTCTTTATTCTAAACATTATTAGTAGTATTAAACAGGAATAGCAGTAGTAGTCAAATGTTTATGATGAAGATTTGACAAGAAGAAAAATAACAGAGTATTACATGAGGAACAAAAAGCATGATTCGTGATAATGTAAATCATCAGACATTATTAGGCAAATTAACACGTGACATTCACTCCCATATGTAGCTGAGTGGAGGTTGTTTAGACTTGCTACAGCTGCGGTAGTTACATGAGCTAACAGTGGTTTAATTTCAAGCGCTGTATATGCTTGTGATCTAAAGTTGACACTGTCCAGACCTAGACTAATAATCAAAAGTTCAACATTAGAGATGAATAATGTTAAATGATGTTACATTCTGCAATATTTACAAGTGACTACCCAGACATTAAGAGGACAGTGGGCCACTGTGGGCCTGCTTATGGCGAAGCTGGCAGCCCAGGCCTAGTCATGAATGATTTTTCTTTCAGTAGTTTGTAATATTTGTCTTAGCCTTTTATTTTGGAAAACAAACTATGTGCATGAACAATGTATTTGATGAGATTAAAAACTAATTAGACCTTGTATGCAGGACAATAACCTGGGTGGCCTGGGTGCCAGCCTTTTATGCCAGCAGACTGATATATGCTTGCTATCTGGGTATAGACTCTATGTGTCAGTTTCCCAGCCAGGGATTAAGCCTAGTCCAGGACAGTACAGCACTCTGAAAGGAAAATGTAAAAGGCTTAATCCCTGTCCATGAAAACGACACTATAATAGAGGGAGTTTTGCCGCGTTTTCTGTGTGAACAATTCTGCAAATAAGTATTTGATAGAGATTTATTAATCAAGGAATAGTGTTCCTCATACTATCCTTAGAGAAAGTGGTGGCCCATTCTCATAACTGCATAACATACATGTTTTATAGTAGTTATCAAATAATTAATAGAATTCAGGCAATACGAAATTAAGTAATACGTATATATCATTGCTTTTATATTCATATTTAATCTTTATTATAAGTTTTAGGGTTCAGAACAGCAATGTGTCCGGGGTTCAAGGGGTTAACCGCTTTAACGTTACTTAGGAACCTAGTCTGATAGCTTCTCTAGCGTTAACTTCTCTGTAGCTAACTTAAATTTGACCATATCGTCTTGGCTCCAGTTCTCTAAAATGGCTAGCCGAAAGAAAGGTAGCTAGTTGACAGGGCTCATATGGAAGCTACTGTTCTATGGGACTAATAATGTAATCATTTGATGTATTTGAAGTTAATTTGGGATGTAACCTTATGTTTTGCTTCTTAGCTAACTAGCATTAGCTAGCTAATCTACGCGCTAACTCACGTTAGCTTACCAGCCCCACAAGAAACAGTGCAGTAGGAGAGATTTGATAATTTAAAAATACCCTTATTAGTTAGTTATGTTTTATTATTAAGGGTTAACTATGGTGCATTATCAGATGTTTGACTTGAGAATAAACTCACGCACTCCACTTTTAAGTTGACTACAATGCTATCCAGTTAACGATAGCGTTAGCCTGACCGTTTGTCTTTCGTAGCAGAAGCCTACCCTCAGCGAAAACCATGTGTATGTATGATAAATCAGAAAAACTCTAGTTTTGAGGAGGACGTGGTGATGCATGATGCAGACTGCAGCTTTGGAGACTGTTTCTGTGCCGAAAACGCTGAAGAGGCTAATGCCGTTGGTTTGGACGGAGGACTCCCTTCTGTAGAGGTGACGGAAGTCAGCTAGGCTGGTAGAAAACAGGCAAGAATGAGGGGATTTAAGTGGTTTTCGTATGGAAACCAAGGGATCTCTGCATTGAGATTCAGCTTAAATGTCAACTCTCAATTCTGCATAATAGTTAACGTGTCAACAAAATCATTCAGAGTGGTTTGGTGTGAAATGCTTCGTTCTAGAGAAACTGAGTCAGAATTGTTCTCAGTGGTGGTGATGGGAACCAGATATCCGAAGTGTTTAATGCCTCTAAAAGCTCCTTCACAGAATCTATAATATGAAAAGATTATGAAAGATTATGAAGCCTGATGTCTGAGACACTTTTTATGGTAATTTTGTGATAAAGTATTTGGTCTAAAACGTATTTTAATCAATTTATTTGAATCCATTCATGGTAGAGGTGTACATGAAGGGTGTTCTAAGGTAAAATAGCCATTATTTTACCATCATCAGCATTACATATATAAACTCAGATGACTTCTGTAGGTTTACTGGTGGCTTCGGATAGTAGCCTAAATAAAATGGCTATATTTGCATTCTAGACATCGGGACACCCGGTTCCTGTCACCACCACTGTAAAGAAATCTGAGTAGGTAAGTTTCTCTACAAATTAATTGTTTCACAAAAAAACAATTTTAAATGACTTTGTGTTTATCTTAAGCACTGAATTATGCAGAAATTTAGAAAAATTGGTGGAATTCCCCTTTAAGCCAAATGGGCTCAGTGAATGGAGACCGTATTCTCCATTTACAATCCTCAGAGCTTGACTGCTTCTTTTTTTATTGCGGCTTGAAAGGGAATTCTGATATCTTGGCTCTGTGTAATTGGCGCTGGATGCTGGTCATTAACTCAGACTTTTGCCAGTCAAATGCATTTTAATTGCCTAAACTATACTCCACACTACATGCATGTTCAATATTTACAACTATATTTACAGTTTACTGCCGTATACAGCAGTGACGGTCTTAGCCACCCATTCACCAAAACCAGTTTTGTGATTTCTCTGACTGGCTGGTTGGTTGTTTAGTTAGTTCATACGTAAGTTATGTTTAAAACATGCTTTAAATATACTTCCTTCCCTGTTACAGACCCCAAAGGACTTGCTCACTATAACTATAGAGCAAGATCATTTTGACCTAATGAAGGTGAAGAACAAGCTGCTGCTGGCAAGATTTTTAGTAAGTATCTACCAAGACAGAGTAGATAAAATCATTGGAATACCCATCAGCAGATGAATTGGACATGTTAACTGATAAGGGGTTGGTTTTTATTCTTTGTAAAGGAATCTTTGATTAATGCATCAATAAGACAGTCATATGAGGTGTATTTAAGGCCTTTACTGACATAAACATGTTTTGCAGAAAAGAATACTAAATTCTAAAATGACACTGCTTTTTCCCACTGCATTAGTGTACTAGATCCACATCCACAAGAATTTAGAGTAAGGATGCTGTTCTGGCTTGTCTATAGAGGTCAAAGGACAGTGTGACTAAAACACTGCAGTTTTGCTTGTTTTACGAGTGCACTTTTAGGTTTTGTGCTCACTGTAGTGAGATTTTAGTTTTGGATTTGTGCATTTTATAAAAAGCAGCTTTGTTTAAAAATTGAGCATTGATCTGTGAACACTTGTTAAATAGTGGTCTAATATTTTTCTTGTTTTGCTCTTGCTATGACAATTTTGGGCTTCATTCTTGTATTGTGGCCTCTAAAGGAGGTGGAAGAAGACAAGAAGAGAGCTGAGGAAGCAGGCGCTGCCCTGCCAAGCCAAAAGAAACAGCTCAGCAGCTCCATCCTTAGGCGCCCACAGGTCAGTGCCATGAGCAGAGATTTTGGTTCTGTTCACACTAGCAGAAAATTACATTTATTTCTTCCACACATAGCAAAGCACTTACTGCAGTCATACAGTCGGAAGTCAAAGTGTTGTGTTATATGTACACCATTATAAAATCCTAACTATATGGTTAAATGCCAGAGGTAGGCAGGAATTGAGTTGTGTTTCTGTTTTCCCTGAGAAATTGCTGACAATATTGTGTTGTGTCCTGTCAGACATTATTAAAAAATCAGTATTCCTCTATAATTGGGCTTCATAATGTTTACAGTAACTTCACGTTGGGAAAGTTGTTGATGGGGTAATATTCATATTTTTTCACTTAAAGCAGTGTAGTAGTGAGTGGTTAGAACATCTAACCATTTTTAATTCCAAGGAAGCACTTATGTAACATGATAAGTTGTTCTTGCTGAGAATGTTTCTCCTTAAGTGCACAAAAGATTCTCAAGGTATTCTCATAGTACAGTAGTAAGATGGTAGCAAAAGTCCTGGCTGAGTAAGCTTTGTTTTATTAACATCACGTTAACTGATACAGAGAGTTTTTAAAATGATTCTTTCTTTTTCATCTTACATTGTTGTATGTGCTGTAATAGTTTGGGACCTGGCGGTCATCAGCTTAGCACTACACACTCAATTTTTGTTCTTATTGCAGAGAGATGCTTGTCATGCCACCCAAAGCAGGAGACGAACGCAGCCTGGCACTGGGAAATGTAGACGGGGTAAACAGAGGAGGGTATTCATTTCTTCAGATACTGGATTAACGGTAGGATCTTTAACTCCCAATATTTAGAAATCAGGATGGTAGTAGTAGTAGTTGTTGTTCATCAGTGACACAAGTGCATTGACAATGAAAAATAAGTGACCATCTGTCCAATGTAGCTCAGTTCCACTAGACTTCAGCTCTTCTTTTCTTATTAACCCGTTTCTGCAGCCCTCCTAATGGCCATTTCCAAATAGCAACTTATGGCAAATGTGAAAAGGGGTCAAACAGTTTTACTGCAGATTTCATATGGCACAAACTTCTGATTGTTTGGTGTCAGGTAAAAGGCCTAGATATTATCATTATAGTAGCCTACAGAGATTTTGTAGTGGAGTATGATTTTAAATATAGTTCACAACTCAGTAGTAAGTGGGAGCATGCGATTTTATTGGATGCTAGTGGAGTTTACACTGCACTCATGCACTCAAGTGGGAAACAAAAGAATTCAAGCAGAATAGAATGGGCTGCAGTTTGATGGCCATAAGATGTGTGAAGATTGAAACACTTGGTTAAAATGAAGGTGGATTTGTTCCATCGAAAGGATGACTAAACCGCGCAAGAAACACTTTCATTGAGGATTGGCCTTTAAAATTTTTACTGAAGTGGCATATTCAAAATGATTCTAAACATCCTAAATCAAATCAGACCAAGTATGCATCACGTGCACTTTTCATCTTTACCCAGT